CTCAGAGCCTAGCCTGGAATCTCCAGTTTTTGTAGGTCATGTTCAGAAAAGGAGGCAAGGGTACAAATTCTCCTGTTTTAATGGGTCCAGCTCTGAGCTCTATACAAGAAAGGGCTGTATACATATCTCCAGCTTAGCAATAGAGGACCATTGCTATGATTGGGAAGGCTTAGTTTATTGGTTGCTGCAACTTGAAAAGACTCTCCAGGGATCTATGGATTTACTTTATTTCTGTGATTTTGGCTGTCCTGCTCCAGAACATGAAAGCCCCTTTTTGTAGTTATACAATACATGTTCTACTGATTATACAGGAATGACTGGGAACCATATGACCCTCCAGTTGTTGTTGGATTGCATCTCCCAGCATATCTCACCACAGAGCTGTTGGAACCTGCTGTCCAACAACATCTGGAGGACTGCATGTTTGTCAGCCCTGTTTCAGAGCATAACAGGCACAATTAATCAAATCATGAATATTTTACAGTGCAAGAAAAGGTGTATCCTTTGCCCTTGCCAATAGAAAATGGCTTTAAGCAAGTATGGGTAATTTGCATGCATCTCATATCCATTCTTTCCTTCATAGTTGCAGGGATTCTTTCTCTGCTATTATTTATATGCTAAACATAAAAGCATAATAAAGGAAGGCTATATATGGGGACTAGCTGTGACATGACATTCATACAAGAAATGGGGGGGGGGGGAAATACCATTTTTGCTAGGCCACTTTGAAATGAAAAAGCACAAATAGCTTTTATAAAGGTGGTAGCATAGTTGTAAGGTCAAACTAAGTGCCAGAAACAGTGCATGCATTTTCTTAAACAAAAGTGTTGCCTGGAAGAACACTGTATGGCATATGAAATTTCAGACAACACAATCTGAGTTTAAAGATGAACACAGCAGATAACATAGCTATTGTTTTATCAGATTACCTATATATCTCTGTGTGTTAACCTCCTCTAGGGAACTTGGATGGTTTATTATGTGTTTGGATGGGTGCATACCCTCCATCATTTCACAAGGGGAAACCAGGACATGTGCTCCATCAGAGTGTGGTCAAGATGGCAAAAAGTATTAATGAGGAAGAGCACACAAGCTAGGAGAGGCTGCAGCAATTTGCTTTTGCCTGAACCTACTGAGAAGAGCAAGAGTCTGCCCCTCCTCTGTTTCCCCCGTGCTGAGTTAGTTGAATACAAACTCCTGCACTTTTGGATTTACATAGTTTGCATCGATTGAAGTGAGCTGAGGACAAAGGGTGAAATTTGGAGAAGGAAAGAGAAACTAGAACTTTTTTAAGGCAGAAGGAAAAATGGGACAACAGAGGATTAATCAGGACTGTTACTGCCATTTTGGAATAGTTAAGGTTATATGGGTGTGGTGTGTGAAGGATAAACTGTATGCTACAATAAAACATAGCATGCAAGGGAGCTGCCACCACCCTAACTCCATAAGCAGTTCTTATGGGGCATAATTTCCAGATCCTTCACCATTTTAGTTGCCCTCTGAACAAGCTCCAGTCCCTAGTATACTAAATGTCTCCATTACCCTCTGGTAAAATGTTAGACAGATTTCTCCATCCATTAGTACCTAAACTGTCTGTGAACATCACTCTTGGCACAATGAGCATGTCTGGTATAAACATCCAGTAAAAAAGAGACTAAATATCAGCAGTCAGTTGAGAGTGACTGTTTCATTTATATTTGTAGGGACACTCTAGGTTTTCATCAATATGCCTAATGGGATATCAGTAGATCCTTATTGTGCCTGGTCAACCTTTTCTGTGAATGAAAAGGCCACATCAATTTATAACTATAGCATATTTCATCTTTTCAGATACTGAAATGGTAGACTGCCTCAGAAATGATGAAGCTTCATCTTCTGTGATTTGTAGCTATAAAAGATGAAGCTTGAGTTCTTCTCCTAATCATAAATTTGCATGACTGAAATTATCTAGCTATCAAGAAAGAGAAGGCAAAGGGAAGTGAAAATTTAGAATGCACTACATGAAGCGTTTTGAATAACATACAGCTTTATGAAATGGCCAAAAGTGTCTCTGGATTTACTCATGTGCAGCACTTTAATAGTTCATTGCTACTTTGTCTTTTTAAACATGTTTTTAATAAAAAAAATTTTAAATGGTTGAAGCTATTCCATTGATATCTGTTCCAGATTCTCCACCCCACCCCTGCTGCTGCCATTAAACTTCTCCTGTGCTGCAGTTGCCATATGGTAATTTGAAATTCCTTATTATTATATAATAATTATTTAAATATTATTTAAAATTAATATTTATATTAATATTTATAAAATTATTATTATATCAATTATATAGTAATTTGAAATTCTATGAAGGAGGACAGGAAGAAAGTGACAGCACACCAACACAGCATGTCAGACTGATCATTGGAGACTGGAACACAAAAGTTGGAAGCAAAGAAGAACCAAAAACAGTAGGCAGATTTGAATTAGGATAAAAAGATGAAGCAGGTGAGCATCTGATAGATTTTTATGAAGCCAATAACCTATTTATTGCAAACCCATTCTTCATACAACCAGAAAGAAGGTTATACACATGGACATGATCAAATGGTCAACACAAAAATCAAATAGATTATATAATTGGAAGCAAAGGGTGGCGGAGCTCTGTACTGGTGGCGAAGACTAGACCAAGCACCAACTGTGGCACAGATCATGAATTACTCACATCAAAAATAAGAGTAAGAGTCAAGAAGAAAATAAATCCAGTGATTATACCAAAAATATGATCTAAACAATCTCTCAACAGAATTTACTGAAAACATAGGAAACAGATTTGCATTACTAAGCACAATGGACCAAGAACCAAAGGAACTATGGTTTGAAGCCAGGGACGTAATAAAAAA